CTTGGAGAGTGTCAATGGTTTGATGGGTGTGCCATCGAGAGAGATGCAGAGGCTGGGACTCTTAGAATCTCCCGACCCGTGTACATCGACAGCATGGTTGAACGCTTCGATGTGAAATCAACTTCCCGCATCCCCGCTACCCCTGGTGCCGATCTAGGGCCGAAGCGAGAGGATGAGGAAGGAGGGGAGTGGCCGGTGAGGGAGGCCATCGGCAGCATGATGTGGGTGTCGACTTTCTCGCGTCCAGACGTCTCGTTCGCCGTGCGTGCGGTAGCGCGTCACGCCTACGCCCCGGCGAAGCGGCACTGGGATGCCGTACAGAAGATCCTCGGCTACCTGAAAGGGACAAGGGACCTCGGCATCATCTACCAACGGGGATCGGGGTTAGGGCTTGCCGTGTACGTAGACGCTAGCTACGCCGACACGGAGGATAGGCGTTCGGTGTCAGGGTTGGCGACGACGGTTGGAGGTACCGTAGTCAGCCATGGTAGCAAGACGCAGAGTATCGTGTCTTTGTCTTCAACGGAAGCCGAGTACATTGCTGCCGGGGAGGGTGTCAAGGAGGCGTTGTTTGTGCGTGCTGTGCTTTCGTTTGTCGCCCCAGAGACNTGTTTGTGCGTGCTGTGCTTTCATTTGTTGCCCCAGACACCAGTGGTAGCAGCATCCAGGTCCTTGAGGACAACCAGGGGGCCATAGCGTTGGTGCAGACCCCTCTCAGCTCAGGTCGCACGAAACACATCGACGTGCGGTTTCATTTCATCCGCGGATTGTTTAGGTCGGGGGAAATTTCGGTCAAGATTGTCCCGACAACGGAGCAACACGCGGACCTCCTCACCAAGGCCCTTAGCAGGGCCAGTCTGCAGTATCACCGGCGCAAGCTGAAGAATTTGCCGGAGTAGCTGTAGCAGTTTCTAGCACTTGGGAGAGGCCATGTTTTCCATGCGGGGAAAGGCGCATAACTGTCGCGGTCTGTGTACCAATGGAAGGAGCAGGGGGCGTTGGGAGACCATCGTCCGGGGGAACGTAGTTCCTCGCGTTCTTGTCTTCGCCTTGGCCCTTCTAATAAGTGCGGCCGTTGTGATCCGCTGTGATAGCGACGGGGCTTTTTGTGGTGGTAGGGTTTTTCCTTGAGGGGTTTTGCCCGGACGCCGGGTTTCCCCTCCTCCATATATTACCATGTTGGTATTTTCTGATGTATCCAGGGGCGTTCTTGCCCAATTGATGGTTTATCACTTGCGTGAAGAACCAGGGAGGGTGTTCGTGGGTCTGCGAACATTGTTGTTGGATACATGTGCTGGATGATTTTGTGTCACGCAGACTGGTAAGATAACCATTCGATAGGGGGCACCGCGATGATTCACGGGCCCCCTCCTTGCTGTGGGAGCCGCTCTTTGAGCACTCCCTCTTTCGTCCGTGTGAAGGACGGTCGTCGACCTCTCGTGAAAATATTTCATCACCAAAACAGTCTCACCCGATAAATAAGTGGCGTAGGCCGCAAACAGTGTCATCTCTGGCGCAATACCAGTTGGGAGGACAGCAAGGAGGAATGTCGTCGCTGGCGCAATACCAGCTGGGAGAACAGCAGGGAGGAGGGTCGTCGCTGGCGCAATACCAGTTGGGAGGACAGCAAGGAAAGGTGTGGGGAGGACAGCAGGGAGGGATGTCGCCCCAGGGGCAATACCAGTTGGGAGGAAGTCAAGGGGGCACGTCATCGCTGGCGCAACACCAGTTGGGTGGACAGCAAGGAGGATTGTCATCGCTGACGCAATATCAGCTGGGAGGACAGCAAAGGGGAATGTGGGAAAGACAGCAGGGAAGGATGTCGTCGCTGGAGCAACACCAGTTGGTCGGACGACAGCAAGGAGGGATGTGGGGAGGGCATGAGGGAGGAGGGTCGTCTCTGCCGCAATGCCAGTTAGAAGAAAGTTAGGAGAACATCAAGGAGGAGTGTCATCGCTGGCGCAATACCAGTTGGGAGAACAGCAGGGAGGAGTGTCGTCGCCGGCGCAGCACCAGCTGGGAGGACGGCAAGGGGGTGCGTGGGTAGGGCAGCAGGCAGGGACGGTGTCGTCGCTGGCGCAGTATCAGCTGGGAGGACAGCAGGGAAGAGTGTCATCCCGAGCGCAATATCAGCTGGGGAGGCAGCAAGGAGGGATGTCGAGTAGAAAACTTCAGCGGTACAGCGGCGACATCCATATGCACGTGATTAACGCACTGTTGTTCTTGATTGTTGTCGGGGTGTGGAGAGGAACCAACTTGGCCCTTGCAGTTGCAGGTGGCAGGAAAGTAGGAATGGGGTCTTACAGTGGCGGATTTGGGGTGGGGAAAGGGCTTGAAAGGGGGGTGCCTCAGATTGAGCAAGACGGCGGGCGTTTTTCTCTTGGTGTGACCGGTAGCAGTGTCGATCCGCAATGCCGCACAGACGTTTGCGCGCCGAAATATGCGCGCGACAGCTTTAACCTAACCACTTCGGTGGAAAGCGGATTTCTGTTCGATACGTTGTCGGGAGGGCCGAGGGGGGAAGGGCCGAGTTTTGTTTGACCACGGTTGGATTAGGGGTTTTGGGCGTAGACTAATTCCTTAGGGTGCATGCCTAGACTACAGGTGTAGTATTTTCAGCAAATATTGCAGCACTTGAGATTTGACCATCGAGTTCGTTTAACTTGGAAGAGGTTCATTACGGACGCTACGATTGATTTATGTTTGTGTGTCTGGATCTATCTGCAATTGTCGGAGGGCAAACGAAATAATAATATCATGTGCAGTCCCCCTGCCCACAAGAATGTTCGTAGAAATGATGACGGCCCTCACCTGCGCGCTCATGACACTTGGCCAGCATCTTTCCAGAATGCGAAGGAGAGTGCGCCAGAGTGTGCGACAAGAAGCGCATCCGTGCTGTTGGACAAACTCACCTAGCGTGAAGGAATGATGCGCGCGGACGCAGGAGGCTGTCCTCAACTCCGTGCCTTCCCACCTCAACGTCGTCCAGTATCTCTTGTTAAACGTCTGATGCCGATGTAGGCACACACATACTGTATGTAAAGACGTCAGTCTTAGTGCGGTTGAAAACACAAAACACTTCTATCTACCATGAACTGGGACCCCGTG